AAAGTCCATCTGGCTACCGGCAACTGCAGCAGCAGCAGCAGCAGCAACAGCAGCAGCAGCACAAACAGCAGAGCAAGCCCATGAGTAGCGGTGACGGCGTTTGCAGGAAGAGAGGAAACGAAGGGGACCGTAGCGACAGCAACAGGTGAAGCAGCAGCAAGCGAAGTAGCAGCAGCAGGCGCAACAACATCAGCAGCGACACCAGCAGGCGCAGCAGCAGCAACAGCAGCAGCAGCAGCAGCAGCAGCGGCTGCTGCACCTTGTTTAAAGAAGCACATCATTTGCGGGGAGGGGGCAATATTAAGGAAGAGAGACAGTCGGCCCCACGCCTTCTGGCTGAGAACAGCAGCAGCGCCAGTGAGCGAAGAAGCAGCAGCAAAAGCAGCAAATAGCTTCTGCATGCATTTAGAAGACTGGTGCAGCAGCTGCTGCACCGTCGCAGTCCGCAGCAGCTTCTGCTGAGCTCGCCGGACCTCCTCCCGTTCGTTCTTTGTTGCACCAGATTTGCTGCTGCTGCGCAGCCGCCCCCTCATTGCTGTGCTGCTGCTGCTACTGCTGCTGCTGCTGGGGTGCTGGGGGTGGGGGCTCGGTGTGGAGGTGTCGGTCTGCGGCCGGACAGAGAAGCTCTGCAGCAAAATGCAGCAGCAGGTGCAGCAGCAGCAGCAGATATTTGGTTGCTGCTGCTGCTACTGCTGCTGCTGCAGCAGCAGTGCGAGAAGAAGCCAGATGACTAGCTGGCCTGCTAGCTAGCTAGTGGGGGGCTGAGGGACAGCTAGCTAGCTAGCTAGCTAGTTAGTTAGCTAGCATGTTGACACTGAGGGCAGCTGCTTTTGCTGTAGAACAAACGACGGGTGGCTGCTGGTGCTGCTCTGCAGTGCAGTGTTGCTGCTGTTCTTGCTGCTGCTGATGCATTGATACTGCTGCTGCAGTGCTGCTGCTGCTGCTGCTGCTGCTGCATTGCTGCTAAAGCCGAAGGAGACCAAGCAAAGCAGAAAGCAAAGACGGAGAAGAGCATCATAGAACAACCAGTGCAGCAAAAGACGCAGAGACAGGAGACAGCAACAGCAGCAAAGGAGACAGCAAACTTACCCTAGGGTTTGTAGAAAGATTGTTCATAGAAGCGCCAGCAGACTGCTGCTGCTGCCTCAGCCCCTGAGCAACAGCAACAACGCACAAGACCAACTCAGAAACTAGCAGCAGCAGCAGCCGCAGCAGCAGCAACAACAGCAACAGCAGCAAAGCAGAAGTAGTAACAGAAAGAAAAGAGTCTGCACCAGACACTGCAACAGCAGCAACAGCAGCAACAGCAGCAGCAGCAAAATCAGCAGCAGCACAGCCTACCGTCCTGGCCGTTGCTGGCAGCACGCACTGCACCTGGGCATCGCAATGAAGAGACTGCAGCAAAAGCAGCAGCAGCAGCAGCAGCGACAGCAGCAACAGCAGCAGCAGCACTTTCAAGAAGAACGGAGTCAAATGCATACAGGCGCTGTATCAATCCACACCCCAACTACACCCTAAACCCTCCTAAACCCTAAACCCTAACTAAACCCTAAACCCTAGATAAACCCTAAACCCTAGCTAACCCCTAAACCCTAGCTAAACTCTAGCTAAACCCTAAACCCTAAACCCCAGAAGCACCCGCCAGCAGCCTTAGAGGCACACAGCCTGACGCATGGCAGCAGCAACAGAACCATAGGCAGCAGCAGCAGCAGCAGCAACAGCAATATCGGCAGCAGCAGCAACAGTGAGGCTGCTGCTACCTGCTCTATCTGCCGCAGTTGCTGCATTCTTATCTCCCTCAGCGACCTGGGGGCTCTGTCTTCTTGGCTCGCCTTCAAAAAACACAAAAACCAAACCCTGTGGGGTTTCATAGAGGGTTTAGGGTTTAGGGTTTAGGGTTTACTCGTCTTGACTCTTCTTCTCTGCAGATTGTGTCTGTTTGACTCCTTAACACTAACGGTTTTAGGGTTTAGGGTTTAGGGTTTAGGGTTTAGGGTTTAGGGTTTACTTTTCTTGACTCTTCTTCTCTGTAGATTGCGTCTTCTTGAATTTCTCTCAGTTGCTGCGAACAAAATTTGTTAATTGCCGTCGATGCCCCAAAAGGCCTCTTCTCCTCGCTACACTCTGCTATCAGGCCCTGCAAACCCCTAAACCCTAAACCCTAAACCCTAAACCCTAAACCCTAAAACCTAAACCCTAAACCCTAAACCCTAGGCCTTTAATCACGTAGACGAAACCCTACATCCTAGACCTTAGGGCAAGGCTGCAAGAAGAGCGGTTAGATGGGGTTTAGGGTTTAGGGTTTAGAGATGAAGCAGAGATCCTTCATTAAATGCTATCTAAACCCTCACTAAATGATGTCTAAACCCTCATATCTAAACCCTAGTTAAATGCTGTCTAAACCCTGATTATATGTTGTCTAAACCCTAATTAAATGCTGTCTAAACCCTAATTAAATGTCGTACTGCTGTTGGCAGCATAGACCCAGCAACTGCCCACTGCTGCACTGCTGCTGGAGAAGCAGCACGCAAGACGGAGTCCTCCAAAGGTAAATCTGAAGGCCGTGTTGCTGCTGCTGCTGCTGCTGTTGCTGCTGCTGCTGCTGCTGCTGCTGCTGGGCCTGCTGTTGATGAGGAATCACCGCCTTGACGCAGAATGACTTGCCTGCACACGAAGAAAAACGAACCTATACACCATAAACCCTAAACCTTAAACCCTAAACCCTAAACCCTAGCGCGTTCTCCTTCTCTTAGCGTTGCATCCTTACTTGAAGCTTTTGCCGTCTGCCGTCTTTTGCTCAATCAGCCCGAGGCCTGTGCATTTGCAGCAACCCTAAACCCTAAACCCTAAACCCTAAACCCTAAACTCTATACCATATACCCTAAACCCTAAACCCTTGTCCACAAAATCCTTATCCTTATGCAAGCTCGAGGGTTTTCTCTAATAGGCCTTCGTCATTGTCTATAATCTGTTGCGCATAGGGTTTTTCTGCAGAGGGTTTAGGGGTTAGTTTGAATGTGTGTTAGGGTTTAGGGTTTAGTATGAATGCATGTTAGGGTTTAGGGTTTCGTGTGAATGCGTGTTAGGGTTAAGGGTTTCGTGTGAATGCGTGTTAGGGTTTAGAGTTTAGGGTTTGTGTGAGGGTTTGCTGGGCTGCTGGAGTGTACCTGGAGGTAAGCGGTGTATAGACACCCCAGCACTGAGCAGACAGTTGAGGCTCTCTACCAAAAGAGCAGCATGCCGAGAAGCAAGACGAGCCTCGCAGCTCTTTATAAGAGGAGGCAAGCACGATGTTCGAGACCCAGGCACCTCTGCAACAAACCCTAAACCCTAGACCCTAAACCCTAAACCCTTAACCCGACCATCTAAACCCTAAACCCGAGCATGCAAACTCTAAACCCTAAACCTAAACCTTAACCCCGAAATCCGAACATGTAAACCCTAAACCCGAAATCCTAAACCCTAAATACGAAACCCTAAACCCCAAACCCTAAACCCTAAACCCTAGACCGTAAACCCTAAACCCTCAATGGAGTGCAGACGTCATAGACAACTGAGAAAGCATAACAGCCAGTTGCACAAGCAAGCAAGGGCAAAGGCTCCTGTTGCTGTTGCTGCTGCTGTTGCTGCTGCTGTTGCTGTTGCTCCATTTGCTGCTGGTGCTTCTGCAGCTGCTGCTGAAGGTGGCGCTGCTGCAGGTGCTGTTGAAGCCACAAGAGAAGGAAGCTAAGGATGCTCATGGAGGCCTGTAGCACGTGTTGCAACAGCAGCAGCTGCTGCTACAGCAGCAGCAACTGCAGCAGCAGCAGCAGCAGCAGCAGCAGCAACATGAGCTCACCTCCTTCACGCTTAATTCGATAAAGAAGAGAAAATATTTGGGCCCCTCTTTCTGTCTTCGGGCTGAGAGCAACGCCGCGATAAATCATCGGGGGAGCCGAGATGCTCTGCACTGCAGCAGGAAACCCTAAACCCTAAACCCTAAACCCTAAACCCTAAACCACAAAACCTAAACCCTAGATTCTAACCTACCCTCCTACACACCAGCCCTCCAGGGCCGTCGTAGTTAATCAGTTTGAAGACAAAATCTGCACTGGCTGTGATGCTTAGCGGTAGCTAAGGCTGAGGGTTTAGGGTTTAGGGTTTAGGGTTTAGGGTTTGGAGCACTAGAAAATGCAAGTTGACAGAGGAAGATTTCAAACTCCGCCAGGCTGAGTTCGTTGAGGTGCTGCGAAGGCGATCCCGGCTCCAGCCTAGAGCCACCCAAAGCCAAACCCTAAACCCTGAACCCTAAACCCTAAACCCTAAACCCTAAACCCTGAACCTTAAACCCAAAGGACTAAACGCAAGAGTTTAAACCTTACATTCTACTCCCTGTGCACCATATCGTATACCCTAAACTCTAGGCTCTAAACCCTTAACCCTGCTCTCTATACTCTAAACCCTCGGCCCTCAACGGTTGTCTCTAAACCCTAAACCCTAAACCCTAAACCCTAATCGCATGCTGCCTGAACCCCTCCCCAATTATCCCTAAACCCTAATCTCAACCCCTAAACCCTAAACCTCAATTCTAGCCCGCTAGTGATGAAAGGCTAAGCACCCCTAAACCCTAAACCCTAACCTTGGAAAACCCTAAACCCTAGAAAACTCTAAACCCTAATTACCGAGCGATTTGCTGCTTCATAGCCCTGCAGAGGTTAGTGCAGAACACCCGACTTCTGCTGCTGCAGGGGGCCCCCACTGCTTGGAGAATCAGAGGCAGAGCTGTTAGAGGCAGCAAATCGTCCTCGCACTGCAGCACCAAACCCACAGACCCTAGGGTTTAGGGTTTAGCGCTTAGGGTCTAGGGTCTAGGGTTTGGCGCTTAGGGTTTAGGGTCAGGGTTTAGGGTTAAGGGTTTTAGGGTTTAGGGGGTTTAGGGTTTAGGGTTTAGGGTTTAGGGTTGGCAGCCCTAGTGTCTTACAGGATCTGCAAACGCATCTCCTCCTGAGGGTTTAGGCGCAGATTTCTGTGGGTAAAAGAGCAAAGACAGCAGCAGCAGCAGCAGCAGCAGCAGGACAATTGCAGCAATAACAGCAAGGTATCAGTTGCATAGCAGCAGCAGCAGGGCAGCAGCAGGAACGCTGCAGCAGCAGCAGTAGGGCAGCTGTATCTGCAGAAGGGACGGGGGATGACAGCAGCAGAGCAGCAGCAGCAGCAGCAGCAGCAGCAGCAACAGCAGCAGCTTGGAGAGCTGACCTGCAGCAGATCGAACAGCTTAACGAAGACGGGGCGGAAGCAGTGCAGCAGCAACTTGCACTCGACTTCTTCAAGAGGCTCAGTAGGTTCTGCTGCTGCTGCTGCTGTTGCTGCTGCTGCTGCACCGACGGGCTGCTGCTGGATGCTGCAGTGGAAAAGGTGAGGCCCCGGAGAAGACCGCCAGGCAGCCCCCTGGGGACTTTGCTGCAATGCATGCGAAGCAAACAGCAGCAGCAGCAGCAGCAGCAGCAGCTAAACAGGGAAGCAGCAGCAGCAGAAGCAGCACCTGGACAGAGGAACAGCAGCAGCAGCAGCAGCTTTATAGACAGAGGGGCATTACCAGCAGCAGAACCTACACAGAGAAGCAGCAGCAACATCTAGACAGAGAAGCAGCAGCAGCAGCTGGATACAGATGCAGCAACAGTTAACTAGATAGCAACGCAGAAGCAGCAGCTGCAGCTAAACAGAGCAGCAGCACCAGCACCAGCACCAGCAGCTAAACAGAGCAGCACCAGCAGCAGCATCAGCAGCTAAAGAGAACAGCAGCGGCAGCAGCACCAGCAGCTAAACAGATAAGCAGCACCAACAGCAGCAGCAGCAGCAGCAGCAGCCCTTAGCATGCATGCCTTTCCCGCCGCATGCATGCAAGGCGATACGGAGAGTGCCTCGAAGCAGAGAGAGCTGCTGCATAGTTGAGGTGTATAGGCAGCTGTGGCGGGCCTTTCCCCACCTGCATGTACACCTGAAGTTAGTTATTTCATGCTTTGTTTGTGTTTAGGTGTATATGCATTTATTTAATGCAATATCATTCTAGAGAGACAAATATATATACCTCGGACGAGTGCTGTGGCGACCCTGCCCCTTCTGCTGCTGCTGCTGCTGCTGCTGCTGCTTCTGCATGCTGCTGCTGATCCAGAGAAGACAAGCTCTGCTGCTGCGCAGAGAAGCTGAGAGAGAAGGAGACAGATTGAAGGGTCTCCTCAGGGCCTTCTAGCCAGTGGGCGCTGCTGCTGGCGTCAAGCTCTGTCTCCTCCGCTTGCTGCTGCGCCTGCATCTCTCCCGTTGCTGCTGCTGCTGCTGCTGCTGCTGCTGCTGGGTGCTGCTGCAGCTCCTGCAGCAGGCGGTCTGCTGCAGAAAGAGACAGTTGAGGCCCCGGTGGCCCCCCACCCCCCGCTAGGCTGTTGAAGTGGGAGACTGTCTCTTCTATGTCTTCGCTGAGGAGCAGACGAACAAAAAGAGACAAAAGGAGACAAAAGAAAAAGCAAAAAGAATCAACAAGACAAAAAGAGACAAAAAGAGACAGAAGGAGACAAAAGGAGACAAAAGGAGACAAAAGGAATAGCCAACGAGACACAAATAAGACAAGAAAAAGATTAAAGGAGACAAAACGAGATAAAAAGAGATAATAAGGGACAAAAAGAGACAAAAAGAGAAAAAGAAATAGCAAAAGGAGACAAAAGGGGACAAAAGAAATAACAAAAAGAGGCAAAAGGAGACAAAAGAAATAACAAGAAGAGACAAAAGGAGACAAAAGAAATAACAAAAGGAGACAAAAGGAGACAAAAAGAGACAAAAGGAATAACAAAGGAGACAAAAAAGATAGAAAGGAGACAGCAAGAGATTGAAGGGAGAGTAAAAGAGACAGAAAAAAACAAAAAGAGACTAAAGGAGACAAGAGGAGACAAAAAAGAATAAAACGAATAACCCTAAACCCTAAACCCTAAACCCTAAACCCTAAACCCTAGGAGATATGAGATTACGAGGTACCGCATGCATTCATCGCAAAGCGCGAGAAGTGTCTCTTTTGTCTCCTCTTCAAGTGGGGGCTCCTCTTGCTGTCTCCTCAGGCACTCCCGAACAGCTTCAGCTAAGCACATCCTCTCCCCGGCTGCTGCTGCTGCTGCTGCTGCTGTTGGGTCTTCTGCTGCTGCTGTTGGCGCTTCTGCTGCTGCTGCTGCTGCTGCTGCTGCTGCAGCAGCAACGCGGTCTAGCAGAAGCAGCTTTTTTGTGATTCGCTGCAGCAGCTCAGGAGACCCCCGTCCCCTCCATCCCTCTACCAGCAGCTTCAGCAGCAGCGCAGCAGCAATTGGGTTTTTTCGTGTGTGCACCTGCAGGAGAAGCAGCAGAGGGCAGCAGCAAAACGACAAGAAACAGCAGCAACGAGCTCAGCAGCAACTTCTGTTCCTGCTGCAGCCTCAACTCCTGCACCGGCAGCTGCTACTACCCTAGCGGCTACTGCTCCTGCTCTTGCTGCAGCAGCAGCAACAGCAGCAACAGCAGCAGCTGCTGGTACTGCTGGTGCTGCTGGCGCTGTTACTGCTGGTGCTATTGCTGTTGCTGCTGGTGCTGTTCTTGCTGTTGCTGCTGGCGCCGTTGCTGCTGTTGCTGCTGCTGCTGCTGCTGCTGGGAGTATGTGTCTCCTCACCGAAGATATCGCAGAGAGCAGCGCCCCAGCCAAGTCGGAAGAAGTGCTGCACACAGGAAGCGAACAATATGGTGCAGCAGCTGCTGCTGCAGCAGATGCTTCTGATGAAGCAGCTGCTGCAGGGGGCGCCAGCTGTGCCCCAGAGGCACCCGAAGCAGTAGGAAAAAGTGTTGCAGCAGCAGCAGACAAAATGGCAGCAGTAGCAGCACCAGAGACAGTAGCAGGAACAGAAGCAACAGCAGCAGAAGCAACAGCAGCAGCAAGCGCAGCAGCAGCAGGCATAGCAGCAGCAGCAGAACGAGCGCCGCAGCAGCAGAAGGAGTGCAACAGCAGCAGAAAAAGCGCAACAGCAGCAGCAGCAACAGCAGCAACAGCACCAGCAGCAGCAGCAGCAACAGCAGCAGAAAGAGCGCAGCAACAGCATAGAGTCTTACTGAGGATGTGCAAAGAAAGCAACACAAAGCGAAGCCTCCGCCGGGCCAAGCGATTTAATGGAGCCGAGAAGTGCCTCAATAAACGAAAGGAGACGCTCAGCTGCAGCAGCAGCAGCATCAGCAGCAGCAGCAGTAGCAGCAACAGCAGTAGCAGCAGCAGCAGCAGCAGGCGGTATAGGAACAGCATGCCAGTCGTGCTGCAGTCTCAGCAGCGTGACCAGCAGCAGCAGCAGCAGACGCTGTTGCTACAGCTGCTGCAACTGCAACTGCAGCTCCAGCTGCTGCAGCAGCAGCTGCTGCTGCTGGTTGGCTCAAAAGCACATACTGGAAGCAGCAGCAGCGAAAGGCAGGAAAAGGAGACAGTCTCCGCAGCAAGCAGAGAGGGGGCGCAGCAAAGAGACACAACAAAGCAGCAGCAAACACCACTAGAAAACAGAGACTCCTCAGCAGCAGCACAGCCCTCTTGCTGTAGCAGCAAGAAAAGACCCCCATAGAGCCTCACTGTCAACTGCTGCTGCTCCAGCGCTTTTTGTTACTGCAGCAGCAGCAGCTGCTGCTGCTGCTGCTGTAGTGGGTGCCACGAATACACCTTTTTCTGCTGCTGCGGCGAGAGCAGCAGCAGGAAGAAGGGCCTCCAGCACAAACCCCTCCCCTACGACTGCAGCAGCAAACTCGCTAGAGTGTCCTTCCGCAGCAGCAACAACGATATCAGCAGCAGCTGCTGCAGCAGCAGTCGCCAGGTTCCCCTCCCTGACACGCATGCGACTGTGTACAACACTAGGGTGTAGGGGCATGCAGTAGCAGCAGCAGCAGCTGCTGCTGCTGCTTCTGCTGCTGGTGCTGGTGGTGCTAGTGCTGTGGGGGTGCTGCTGGTGGTGGTGCTGCTGATGTTGCTGCTGCTTTTGCTGCTGCTGCAGCTCACCGTTCTGCGGCTGCTATTTGGAGACACCCGAGGATTTGTCGTTGGATGCGGGCGGGATCGTCGTCTCCAGGCAGCAGCAAATTGCTGCAGCAGCGGCTGAGGGGCCCCAACACCAGCAGCGCGGCAGCACGGGTGGCAGGAGCCTTCTGCTGCTGCAGCACCTGAAGAGACAACCCAGCAGCAGCAGCAGAACGCGCCCCAGCAACAGCTGCTGAAGCAGCAGCAAGATCAGCAGGCGCCGCTGAAGCAGCAACAAGACCAGCAGGAGATGCAGCAGCAGCAAGAGAGCAGCAACCGCAAGCGCTGCAGCAGCAGCAATAGCAGCAGCAGCAGCAGCAGCAGCAGCACAGCAGATTCATGCAGACGGAGAGGGTGCAGCAGCTTTGAGGCTTAAGAAGGAGACACACACAACTCAAGAATTGCTGCAGCAGCAAGAAAGAGACACTAAAACGGCAGCGCAGCAGCACAGCAGCACTGCAGCGGAGCAGCGCAGCAGCAGAGCAGTGCAGCAGCAGAGCAGCAGAAGAGACAAAAAAAAGGAGCAAAGAGACACCTACGGTGCTGCACGCCTCAACAGCCAATGCCTCGAGGACCTCCACCGACAAACTCTTACGCTGCCTTGTCTCTCCTCCCTCTTCCTGCTGCTGCTGCTGCTGCTCCTGCTCCTGCTTCTGCCGCTGCTGCTGCTGCTGCTGCTGGTGCTGCTGCAGCACAAGCCTTGCTAGGAGGAAGTATGAGGCTTCGTTTTGCAGGAGCATCTTCAGGAGACCCCCCGCCCAAACCACCTCCGGGTTAATGCTGCTCCACTGCAGCAACACATCTCCTGCTGCTGCTAGCAATCTTGCTGCTGCTGCGCAGTGCACGTAAGCTACTACTTCCTCTGCTGCTGCTGCTATCTGGGAGAGACAAACAGCAGCGGGAGACCGACGGAGATGATCCAGCAGCCGCTGCTGCAGCATACGACAGGAGGGAAGCAGCAGCAGCAGCTGCTGCAGCAGCAGCGCGAGGGACTCAAGAAGACATGCCGCCTGCTCTATTAGACCCTTGGAGTGAAGCAAAGAGGCCCCTGCACCAGCAACAGCAGCGGAAGCAGCAGCAGCAAGCAGCAGTAACAGTGATGGCAGCAGGAGCAGCAGCAGCAGGATCTGCACCAGCAGCAACCCAAGGACGACAGCTGCGGCAGCCCTAGACGCAGCACCAGCAGGAACAGGAGCAGCAGAAGCAGCAACAGGAAGAGCAGCAGGCAGAACCAGGGACGGCAGCAGCAGGAGCACGAACAGCAGCAACAGCAAGAACAGCAGCACCGGCAGCAGGAACAGCAGCAGCAACGGGAACGGCGGCGGCTGCAGCAACAGCAGCAAGAACAGCAGCAGCAAGAGGAACAGCAGCGGCAACAGGAACAGCAGCAGCAGCAGGAACAGCAGCAGAAGCAGCTGCTGCATGCCTTTACCTTCGCAGAAGATTTGGATTACGATTGGGGCTTTCTTCGGCTCTTTGTGCAGCAGCCTTGCTGCATGCGTCGCGCTGCTGTTGAAGCCCCGAATCCAGCTGCTGATGTTTAGGGAGACAGCTTCTTGTCCTTCTGACTGCAGCAGCGCCTGCATCATCCTCCCTCTCTCCTTTACGATGTTAATGCTGCTGCTCCTGCTGCAGTGAAAGTGCTGCTGCAGCAACTGCAGCAGCAACTCCTCTATGTTGTCGTTACCACGTAAAGGAGCTCGCCTCTCCCCGCCACCCTCAACGCTGATGCCCTGGGCCTCCTCCTGCTGCTGCTGCTGCTGCTGCTGAGCATGCTTCGTTGGGTGTGCTAAGAAAGGGCCTTCTTGCTCTGTCTCTATCTCCCCAAGAGGAGACACAAAAATGCTGCTGGTGCGGCGCCTCGACCCCCCTCCCCATTCTAAATTACCGGAAGACAAACGGCGCCCGCATAAATATGCAGAGGCAGCAGCAGCATCCCCTGCTGCTGCCGCTGCTGCTGCTGCTGCTGCTGCTGCTGCAGTTTCTGCTGCGCCTCGTGCTGCTGCTTCTGTTGCTGCTCCTGCTGCTGCTGGTGCTTCCGTGGTGCTCTCTTCTGAAGTAATGGTGCTTGAATCTTCCTGAGCCTCATCAAGGCTCTGCTGCTGCTGCTGCTGCTCTTGCTGCTGCTGCTGCTGAGTTTGCTGCTCTGAGTCTTGTGCTGGAGGCTCGATTGGGAAGGGCTGCTCGTTTTGGCTTACAGAAGAACTGCTGCTGTTTGGAGACATTTCAGATGTCTCTTTTGCTTCTTGAGGCGCATCCTTCTCCCCTTCAAGGTCTTGCTGCTGCTGCTGCTGCTGCTGCTCCTGTTCCTGTTGGGGTTGCTGCTCCTGTGTCTGCTGCTGCAGCTGCTGTTGCTCGTGCTGTGTCTGCAACTGGTCCTTTGCCGGCTCCTCTTGCTGCTGTTGCTGCTGTTGTTGCTGCTGCTGCTGCAGCTCGTCTAGGTCATCCTGCTGTTGCTGCTGCTCCCTCTCTTCCTGCTGCAGCTGCAGCAGATCGCTGTTAACCCGCAGGGGTGCTTCGGTGGCTGTACACCCCACATCCACAAACTGCTGGGGACCTCGAGAGACAGCTGAGCTGCTGCAGACCTCCGCAGCAGACAAACGGAGACTGCTGCTCTGCCGCAAAGGCTGCAGCAGCGTCTCAGCCAGGTACCTACACAAGAGAATGCTGCTGCTGCTGTTGTTGCTGCTGCTGCTGTGAGATTCAAGGTCAGCGATCTCCTCAGCCTTCCGTTCAAATAGTGGGGCATCGGTGAAGTCCTCTGCTGCAGCAGCAGAGACAGCAGCAGCAGCAGCAACGCAAGCCACTCAGAGCTACAGCTTAAGGCGCCGACTCCCCAGCCAACAACAACAGCAGCAGCAGCAGCAGCAAAAGAGGAGGGACTCGTGCTACGCCTTCTCTAGAGCAGACTGAGTAGGAGACAGCTTTGGGTTTCCGAAGAAGAACTCACTCCAAGCAGCGGCAGCAACAGAAGCAGCAGCAGCAGCAGCGGCAGTAACAGCAGCAGCAGCAGTAACAGCAGCAGCAGCAGCAGCAGCAAAAGAAGAGAACTGGAATACAGGAGCTTACACTGGATGTCTGTCTGCTGCTTAAAGACAGCCGCCCGCACTGCTTCTTCTGTATTGACTGTAGCAGCAGCAGCACTGGGGTTTGCTACTGCTGTTTGAATGCATTTAGCTGCTGCCAGCTCTATCCTTGCTGGCGGTGTTGCTGCTGCTATTGCTGCTGCTGTTGTTGCTGTTATTGCTGCTGCTGTTTCGGCTGACGTTGCAGCAGCAGCAGATGAGGACTCCTCCATGCAAAACAACCCTCCCCCGACGACCTCCTCTCTACACCTTTGCTGCTGCTGCTGCTGCTGCTCCCCGCCTTCCCTCTGCAGTTGCTGGAGTTGTTGCTGCAGTTGCTGCTGCAGTTGTTGCTGCAGGTGCTGCTGCAGTTGCTGCTGCACTTGCTGCGGGAGCTGTTGCTGTCGCTGTTGCTGTTGCTGCAGTTGCTGCTGTTGATGGTTCAGTTGCTGCTGCAGTTGTTGCTGCAGCTCCTGCTGGAGTTGTTGCAGTTGCTGCTGCTGCTGCCGCTGTTGTACCTGCAGTTGCTGCTGCAGCTCCTGCTGGAGTTGTTGCTGTTGCTGTTGCTGCTGCAGCAACTGCTGCTGTTGATGCTTCAGTTGCTGCTGCAGTTGCTGCTGCAGTTGCTGTTGTTGCTGCTGTTGCTCTTGTTGCAGTTGCTGGTGTTGATGGTGCAGTTGCTGCTGCAGTTGCTGCTGCAATTGTTGCTGCAGCTCCTGCGGGAGCTGCTGCAGTTGTAGCAGCTGCTGCTGTTGTTGCTGCTGCTGTTCTTGTTGCTGCTGGATGGCGTTTGCCTGCCATTGCTGCTGCTGCTGCTGCTGCTGCAGCTCGTTGGGGGCATCGTGAGGAGGAGCTGTGGGTTGGGGCTGCATGCAGACGTCGGAGGCCTTTTCCTCGCTGCTTCTGCCAGAAGAGTACAAGGAATGCCCAGCAGCGGCAGCAGCAGCCGCCGCCGCAGCAGCAGCAGAAGCAGAATGAGCAGAGGCAGCAGAGGCACCGCCTGGAGCAGCAGCAGGCGGCATATTGCCTCTGACAGTTTTACGTGGGGCCGCTAGAGAACTCCTGCTGCTGCTGCTCGCGTCTCCTGCAGCAGCATCAACTGCTGCTGCTGCTGTTGCTGCCTCTGCATTTGCTGCAGATAGGGCAATTCTGTCCCTTGCGTGCGCAGCAGCAGCAGCAGCAGCAGTTGTAGAAGGATCCGCAGCAACACCAGCGCTAGGACCGCCAGCAGCAGCAGTAGCAGCAGCAGCAGAAGGGCGGGGGAGAGGGGTGTTATCGTATGCAAGGACAACTTGTTCGTATTTGAGCTGTCTCTCCACCACAAGGTCTACTAGAGACCCAACAGCTTCAGGGTCTCCTTTCTCTAATGCCTTACTCCAGGTGTCTCCTAAGCAAATGCCAAGGGCCTCGATGTGGGGTGCGAGGCTCTTCCAGTTGTTAGCGAAGGCTGTGGGGTTGGTGGCATGGGAGACGCTCCTGGGATCGGGGAGGCGATCGATCCCACGACGCTGCAGAGCAAACGTCAGCAACTCCAGCAACCCCACACCGCTCCGCAGATGCAAACTACGGGGGGGGCTTAAAACCGCCAAGCCGTGCGGCTGCAGCGGCTGCAGCAGCAAAGGAGACAGCAGACCCCACGAAGCAAGAGCAGCAGCAGTTTCTGCCTTCAGGGAGACAGTTGGAGAGGAGACACCTGAGCGAGAGGAGACCCGCAAGGAGTCTCCTCTAAAGGAAGAAGAGATACCCGAGGCATGCCGAGGGATGGACATTGCACAGACAAAAACAGACAAAAAAAGACAAAAAAACAAACAAAAAGGAGACAGAAAGTAATCAGAAAGGAGACATGCGAAGCAGGAGACGTCTCCCGTAGAAGCAACAGCTAACGGGAGACACTGCAGCAGCAAAGGAGACAATGCAGCAGCACACGCCCCCACACACAAACAGGGGAAACTGCTGCTGCAGTGCTGCTGCTGCCTCTGCCACTGCTCCTGTTGCAGCTCCTGCTGCAGCTGCTGCTGCTCGCGTAGCAGCTCCTGCTGCTCCGTTGCAGCTCTTGCTGCAGCGGCTGCTGCTACTGCTGCTCTGCAGCGCAGAAGCTGCAAGAGAAACAACAAATCAAAGAGAAAATGAGGCCGGGGAAGGGATACTAAGCCCCAGCAGCCGAAGGCGTCAGTCTAAACGAGCCGCAAGGCATACAGGATAAACCTGTAACTCTTGGGAAGAGAGAAAGAAATAGGGTCAAAAAGAAACTCTAAGAGGGCATAGATAAAGAATTTAAATAGATGCATGCAAATGAACTGCACATACAGCTCAAACCGCTCAGACGCAGCCAGAGAGAGGGCCCCAGCGCGTGGCCCCATCGAGTGACCTTGAGATGTTGCGTGCGAGGAAGTTCTTTAAAAAAAGAAATCAATAAATAAATAGTAATTACGCAATTTTATATATTTATTAACTTCGTTTAAATCGAAAATAACAGCTGTAAAAAACTTAAAACAAGCCAGTAGCCCCCTGCCCTCCCGCCTCTGCGCTACCACCTCATCGGGGCCTCACGAGCCCAGTTGGAGTCACTGACTATGCAAATGTCTGAAAAGAAATTATAAATTAAAAGTTTGATTTTTTTGTTGTTTTAATTTATTTATCTGTTTGTTTTCCCACACCATTTGGCCCGTATCCATACAAAAAGACGAAGCCAGTTTGTGATGAGGGGCTGCGTGTGCGGTCACTTCCCCTTCCTGGCGCTCTCTCTGCATCTCTTGGGAGCAGAAAAAGTAGAATTCAAAGCCGAATTAAACAGTTTATTAAAAGAAAAACAAAAAGAAACAAGAGAGAAAAGAGAGAGGAAAATCCATGTGCAAAAGAGTCGGGCGTTTCTTGCAGATGATACGAAGGGCCTCTCTTGAGGCGGCCTCAGACGCTGCAGCAGGACAAAGACGCTGACAAAACTCCTTTTGAATTTCTTTTTATTATTTAAAAAAATATATAATAAAAAATGAACATAATAGACAGCAAATTGGGTTTAAAACCTCCACCCATTTCACACTTCCGCGCTCTCCCGCAACCGGCGCTATATGTCTGCCGCTCTACTTTCTACACAGTCTTCATAAACTCATGCAAAACGCAGCTAAACCGAATTTTAAAATGAATTATCAGTTTTCAAATACAAAAAATTAATTTTTAAAGAGAAAAACAATTAAAAACATTCTATATTAGCCTTCATACTGCTCCATCCCCCTTAATCCCCCCCCCGCAACAGGGTCACCTCCTCTGCAATAATGGGCGTTGGCATACACACTGATGCACATCGCAACTTGTATTTGACCGGCGGGTGTAGCGCCCCGCTGTGATCTGAGCAGAGGTCGGGTTGGTGGAGATGTGGTGCTGGGGTGTTGTGGGGCGCCGGAATCGTGGGGATCGTGATCCGCCCCGACGATCCCGCAGCCTGCAGCAGGCGATCCCACGGAGGTGGGGACGTCGCTGTAGATAATGAGGCCCGGAACGCCTAAGGCTGGAAACAGAGCAGGGAAAAGGGCCCGCTGTGGTGCAGTGAAGGGACAACGGAACTGCCCCTCTGGCTCGCCAGCACAGCAACCGCCCCCTCCACACCAACCTTTTATATATTGTTATATACACATATAAATATATTATATACATATATAAATATATATTAATAAATTGTTATTAAGTAAATAATATATTCACTTGTTCAACTTGGATCCCTCTGGTTAGCTATCACAGCCACTGCCACCTCCATACCAACCTTGTATGTGTTGTTTTTTATTTATTATATATATGTATATATTATATATATTTAGATAAATCGTTATTAAATAAATAATATATTCATTTGTTAAACCAAATATTACTCTTCTTGTATCCCTCTAGTTAGTTAGCCAGCACAGCAACTGCCCCCTCCATACCAAACCTTTATATATAAAGACAATATATATACTTAAATAAACAACAATTATATAAATAATATATTATATTCATTTATTCAACCAATCAGCAATCTTCTTTCTTTGTTTGCTTTCCTTATTTTTCTCGATAACGCCCCTGCTGACTCCTTTCTTTACTTGTTAGCTGCTGTGGCTTCTTACTTATCGTTTTAGAATTATTGTTTGTCTGCAGCATTATCTTTTTATTGGTTTTGTTGAAGACTCACTGTTTTTTTCGTTCATTGATCTTGTCGTTCTTCTTTGCTAATTATTTTATTATTTCTACTAGCCAACCGTTTGTTTTGTTTTACAGCTTTTATTTGTTAATCTTTTTATTGCTTTTGTTTGTTTTTATTTTAATTGTCTTTGTTCTCATACATTTTCATCTTTATGCAAAAAGGCAGAATACGCATATAAAGAGACAGAGACAAATTATAGACAGCCCGTTGCTGTCTCTTCGTGTGTTGATTGATATTTATATTTTTCGTTTTTACAATAAACTTCTTTGATTTATTCTTTTCAGCTATTGTTTGTTTGATGTCTTCTCTAATAATTAATAGTAATAAATTATAGCTCGCCTTTACTAATGTCTTTCATTAACCCCTCTCTCTTTACTTCGTAGCTGAGCTTTTTTGTTGCTGTTTCTTCTAATTAATCATGCCTTAGTATAATAATTAGTAATAGCAAACTGTATTTCTATAGCTATTGTTTATTCTTTTCAAAGAGTAATTAATAATACTATTTTATTGCTAGTAATAATAATAGTAATAACAAATATAAATAATAATAATTATTATTATTTATATTTGTTATTACTATTATTAATACAACTCTTACTTTTTTAATACAAATGACAGCAGCCAGCCCTCTACCTTTATTCCTATACCTTGAGCTTCTCTTACGTTATTCTTTATATATTCGTTTAATGCTTGTCAATGTTTGTTTGTTTGTTTTATTTATATTTATAATAAAACAAAACAGTAACAACACCCATAATGTCTCCTTTTAAAAAAGTACTTTTGCTTCTGCTATTTATTTGCTGCTTTTTTTTCTCTTAGTTTTCTTCGATTATTTTTAAACAAAGTCTGGCGATGTACACTCAAAGAAAAAAACCTCTTTAGATAGGCGTTCCTGCTGTATAAACAAATAAAAGTATATATATATAATATATATATAATATATATATATATATACTTGGTGTGTACAAACTCTATATATAGTAGAAAACGCACGTTATAATTATACACTGCACTAATATAATATATATATTATATATTATATATATATAATTATATAATTATATATATCCTATACACTATATATAGCATATATATTATATATAGCATATATACGCACGCAGATATATACATATATATTTATTATATATATATTATATAATATATATATAATTACATAGACTGCAATTAATAATATACACAATACACGGAGTACATATTATATATATA